AGTTTACTGAGGGACCAAATCCACAACAAAACTAGCTCAAAAGGACCACGAAGCCAAAAAAGTCGAGGTTTGGACTAAACCTCAGAAAAATGCATACCACAGGGACCGTTTTTGTAATTTTGTCAAAAAAAATAAGAAATAAGAAAATAACCCACCCACCCCCTTCCCGGTACCCCTACTTGACTCTTGTGTCCCTCCTTTCTTTCTTTACATTTTCTCTCATCATCCTCGACAAAATTGCCAAATTCATGAATTTTTCTAAACCTCTCGAATTAAAAGTTTTTGCGAGCTTAGCTCAAAACAAGACAATATCTCCTCATCTCCCTCAGTGTTCCAATAGATTCGGCCATTCAAGGTCTATTTGTGTTCATCATCATTTGAGTTGAAGTTGTGACCATTGGTAAACCACATAGACCATTTATGTAGTTTTGTCTTTTTCTTTTATTTAATGTGTGACCTTTTAAGGGTAATTTAAACGAATGGTCCCTATGGTTTGGGGTAATCTGCATGGTCGGCCCCTAACTTTTCTTTGTAACTCGGACGGTCCTTATGGTTTTGTTTTGGTGCGTTTCTGGTCCCGAACACTCTTAAAAAGACTATTTTGCCTTACTAGTATTCTTTCATTTTTATTATTATTATTAAAAAATATTATAACTATGTGTGTGGATTCCACCTCTCCATCCCCTTAGACCTAACCCAACCCTCATTGTCACCCCATTCTAGTCCTCTTCTAATGAAGCACCCCTTTTTATCTTCTCCAGTGAGACCACCAGCAAACCACCACCACCACCTACTTCGTTTGAAGCAAATAACAGAAAAATGAAAGCATGAACTAGATCTTAAGCAAATCACCACCATATATAAATCAAACCTGAAGGAAAATCAAACTGGAAAATCGAAAACTCAAACTGAAAAATCAAATCAGAACCAAATCAAACCACCACCTGATAGCTAACCTCCATTTTCTATCCATACGAAGAGAAATTGTTGCCTCCAGACACTAATTTCTTCCCGACGATTGTATCCTTCCCCTTTATCCCCCACTTTAACATTTCTTGCCACACCTTCCTAGGTCTCCCCCCCCCCCCCCCTCTCTCCCACATACAAACCATAAGATCGATAAATAGGAACTGTGAAGAGAGGCGGGGTAGAGAGGCGTTGGTTGATGGTCGACGGTGGTAAGAGGTGGTTAACCACGATCTTAAAATTGCCAAGAATAGATGGTGTATTGATTTAGGGTTGTAAGTTTGGAGAAGAGAGAGGGAGATAAAGATGTATAGAATGTAGCAGATTTTAGAGGATTCAACAAACCTAACTAGGAGTATATTATAGAGGACGCCATCAATGGTGGTGATGGCTCCCCTCTAGAAATTTAATCCCCAAATCAACCCCTCACTCTAACTGAATCCACACTACATTGATGGTGGTGTTGTTTTTTAGTAACACGACGGAGATCAAGGGGTGTGGTGGCAGTAGAGGTTTATGGTGATGGAGGATTTCCGGATTGAAGAGATGAAGGATTGAGAGAAAAGGGTTTTCTTCGGACAAAAAGAAGGGGAGGGGACCCAATAAAACAAATAAACAATATTTTAAACAAATAAATATTTAAAATTTGATAAAATATAAAAAATGATTTATTAAGGGTAATATAGTCAATTTAAGTCGACCAATGACCACAAATGAAACAAAAACAAATCACATAGATTGTCCGAGTTCAAAAAAAAATATTAGGGACCAAACATGCAAATTACCCCAAACCATGGGGATCATCCATATAATTTACCCTTGTTTTAATGGCCTACCTTTTGTAGATATAGAAAATTAATTAAAACATGGTCTATATGTTCTGGATTTGTTTTCCTACCCTATACCAATTATTTGAAGTGTTTGACCATCATAAAAATGATGTCGTAGATTCAAATCTATAGTGCATTTATTTGTAAAAAGTGGTAGTGTTCAACATATATTGAAATCATGTGGTAGAAAATTTGTTAAGAACACATTTTGTGCACAAATGTCTTGCCGATTGACCGCACAAATAATGCTATTATACCATTACAAGTTGAGGTGAGAGAAGAAAACATATAGTCGATGTCACAAAAAGAGCACACTCATCTCAGTTGTCGGTCTCCACTACCGCCGATGTGTCCATGTATGTTCACTAAGTTTGATTTTAAGTAGCAAAACTTATGGTTGTTTTTTTAAATTTGACTTAACCTATTGTTAAATGCATTTTTATGCATCTAATTTGTTATTTTTAGTCCTATTTTGTCTCATGTTTTCTGTATTTGTTATTAGCATTACTAATTAGACATCTTGTGCTCAATTGTAGAATGTCCGTACAACTCATATTTCGATGCCTTTTCAGGGTAATTGACATGGAGCAAGACTTTGAAAATATATGTATGTAGCTTGGAACATATTTGGAGCTTAACCGAAACTGAAAACACATGAGGAAGCTAGAAGAAAGCAGCTTGGAATGAAGTTCTGACACGACCATGTTCCCTCTAATGTAACATCATGTTTCGAGAAGTTTCTTATTTCGGGATTGTGGACACTAAATGGATCAAGTAAAGGCCTTGGGTTTCAAGGAAATAGGTTCTAGACCCTATTATATGTTGATAATAGTTGTTGTGTGATCTAATTCCTTGGTTTCTGTTTTGGAGTCAAAGGGTAAAATGGGAAAAATGATGTTGCGGACTTCTTACATGAATTAAGGATTTTAGTTTTGTGTGTTTTAAGTTAAAAGTAATTAGATAGAGTTTTGGGGCTCGTCAATACCTTTCCATGCATATAAAGATCGCCGAAAATGGAGTAGAAACGAAGAAGTTATGATTGTTTGAAGTTCGAATAGAATTGGGTGAAAACCCATTCTCAGGAAGTGAGAAGCATATTCTCACGACGTGAGGAGCATGTTCTCACGAGGTGAGAACCAGGCTATCACGAGGTGAGAATTGTGCAACCCAAGCCCATGAAGTTTTAGGGTTTTCAAGGTATTTAAAGGTAAGAATTCATGTTTTAGGGTATTTGCTTAGCCTTTATCATCTCTAGAACCCCTTAGGAGAAACCATAGCCTCCACCTTCAAGATTTGAGATTCTCCTCTCTCCCCTCTCCTCTTTTGGATTCTTTTTATGTTATTTTAATGAAGTAAAGAGGAATCTTTTTATGTTATTTTAATGAAGTACAAAGATGAAGAAGGTTCTTTTGGTTGCAAGGAATGATGCTTCAAGTTTGGATCCATCAAAGACACTACATTTTTTTTACTATTGTAAGTATAAAGTTCCAATATAGCTATCTAGTTTTTTAGATCTTTTCATTTGGGGTTTTTGGCACTTTTGGTCCATTTTATGGGTGATCTTGGAGTTGAGTGGACTCCAACATCTTTTGATCAGTTTAGAATGCTTCATGGACCTCACGGACTAGGAAAGTTATGATCTTTTGCCTTCCCTTTTAGCCATGCAAGTTATCTTGGTCCTTTAGGTCATTTTGGTGTATTCAAGTTTAGATCTTGAAAGTTTGTGGCATTGTTATGGATAAAGTTAGGAACTTTATCCATCTAAACATTATGTTTATTCAGATCTGTAGGTTGGAGACTTGGACTTAATGAATTAAGTAGAGAAGATGCATTTTTGGGTCCTATAGAGACTTAAAGTCTAGATCTTGGTGGTTTGGACCTTCCTAATGTATAAAGTTGGAATCTTTATCCATTATAAAGCTATTAGGAATTAGATCTAATGGTTTTAGCTTTGTTCCTTATGGTTTAAGCTTTTTTTGAAGAAAAGCTTTTCAGACTGAAGACCACAGTGTGGCCTTAGGTTGCCACGCCGTGGCGACTGGGGAATTGTCATCTGTTTTGTTGTTTGTGGGCCACGACGTAGTTATGGATGGTCACGGCATGACAGTTGACTAAAGTCAATATTGATTGTTGACTGTTGACTATTGACTTTTGGTCAAACTCTTAGTTATGGAAAGGGGGGGGGGGAGTAAAGGGCTTACCTTGTGTGACTGTATAGGTGGTGTGCAACATCGGTATTTACGGCGGTGAGAACAGTAGCAGCCGATTATCATCTGAGAGGTAAATCTCTTCACTATACTCATGGGTCGAAGGCACCAATGTCGGCCCATTGGATTATGTTTGTAGAATGATAGTTGTCTTTGTGACACTTGCTGATATGCTTGTATGTGCTTGTTGTCTTTGTGAGTATTACTGATATGACTGTATGGTTAGGTGTAGGAGTTGAAATAGACTCGGGGAGACATAGACCCGCTCCGATTGAAAAACACCGAAGGAGTTGAAATAGACTCGGCGGTGAAATAGACCCGTTACAGCTTCGAACTAATATGTATGTATGGTATGGGGTATTATGGGGAACTCACTAAGCTTTGTGCTTACGATTTATGTTTAAAATGTTTTCAGGTACTTCTGGTTTCAGAAGGAAGGGCCCAGTTTGATCGCACTGCATCCTCTGAAGATTTATTCCACATTGATTGTTTATGAATTTACTCTGATGTTTTGAGAATACTTTTACTCTGATCGTCTTTTGGAATAACGAATGAATGATTTTGACTTATTTGCAATGAAAATTTTACTCGGTATTTTTGAGACGTTACATCTAACATGGGTTGTGACCCACCTAAGAAGACTTATGGGGTGAATTTTGGTAATTTTATGAAGTTTGGAGACCACGATGTACCAAAACGGACTCGCAAGTGCACTTTTTTTTTTTTTTTGTTAATTGACCACAATATAGTACGATTATTTGGTTAACTGTTTTCTATGCCTTTCAAAAAACAACCTCATTTTTTTCATCGGAATTTTGTAAAACTGTATTTTATGCTTTGTTTCCTATTTGCCACTTTGTAGTAGTGTTAATCTCGTTATATGTGATCGGTTTTCTAAGCCATTTCATAGTAGTTCATCAAGGAATTTTCTAAGACTGTCTTTTATAGATCATTGTCTGTTATTAATGATAAAGTAGGTATTGATTTTAAAGCTTGAAGTATCAACAATTATACATATGTACAAAACATTTGAAAGACACTTCGGTGTCAAGCTGCACGCAATTAGAACTTGGGGTGTCGAACATAGAGTGAGCGTTTCTTGGGCTTAAAAAGATATCTAGAAGCATACGTTGACCGGAACACATCTGCCAAAAGAGGGTACTGCAGCATCGCAAATAAAATGACTGGCATGGTGGCAAAGAGGCTGATAAGAAATGGCACCCATCTCAACTTGTTATGGTAAAGTATAAAAAAACTGACACTAAAAGCAATCATCATCGTCGTTATAGAAAGGAAAAGTGTCGCTAAACCAGTCATCAACTTTTTTGGTATCGATTCCAAGAAATCATGCTCAGCATAACGAGATGTGAGGACAGATAAGAACATGATTATCGAAGCTGAAGACGCAAACAATGATATGGCATCTGATATCGCGAAAGCTATGAAGGCGCCTTTTTTAAGATAAAGTGGTGGCCCATATGTCTGATCATATCCCCCTGGAACCGTAAAAGCAGCTGCAAATACTATGGTGGCAATAAGCGCCGCCACCACCATACACTGATTAGCCGTTCCTTTCATCCATTTTTCACCTTGGTTGACTAGATCTTTGTGTTCCTTCGTGAATAGCTCATATGGTGTTAAACCTTCTTTGTTCTTCCTTTCCCTGTATGTAGGAGGGATCATCTGTTCCACTTCCTGTAACACAAAACGGATGTGATCAGTTATAGATATGTAGGCCGAAGTTTGAAAAGGAAGTCAAATTCATACCTTGAACCAGAGCAATTCTCGTTGCATTTGTAGTGCTACTCCTGAAACAATATCAAGTCGTTTTTTCTTTGCAACTTTCCCAACTAAATGGAGCATATTATTCTCAATTTGGTCTTTGAGAGGAGTTATCAAGTCTTTCATCGACCCAAGCTCATATAACAAATTGTAAATACTTTCATGACGATGTATAACAGCTACATGAAATATACTTTGGTTATCATTATTCACTTTCCATATTAAATCCGGATAGAGACGAATTAGCTCAATTATAAATGCAGTGTTGCCAGTTTCCGCAGCAACAAAAAGCATTCGTGAATTGTATACATCTCTGTTACCAATACGTGTTCGTGGGCCTCTTATTATGTCATCAATTTGAGACTTTGACTTTTGCACAATTCGTTGCCAAATAAATCGCACTATTTCCACCGCATGGCTTTTCTTTTCAGCGCATCCTATCGTCCTACCAAGTACTTCACAAACTAGAAACCAAATAAAATTAAATTAGGTGATACAAAATATATTCTTTTTATTACAAAAACCCTCATAAGATTGGGATCTTTTTTTGTAAATAAACAAGGAGTAGAGGAAATACTTTTATGGTAGAATCTTCGGATAAAATTGGGATCTTTTCTTGTAAATGCATCTGGCTTTCTCGCTAAAACTTGAAGTACTTGTCCATCGTCACCTAGTTCAGGGTAGTCTTTCAATATATCCAATGCTACATCTAAAAAGGATTTTGTAATAACTCTAATTAATAACAACGACAACAATAGTAATGATACAAATTAGAAAATACTACAAATGAGAAATATTTAATTTATACTTACCAAAGAGATCAGACTCGACACATTTCACAAGAAGCCAACCTCGATTCTGCTGTGTCCAACCATCGTCATGCAATTTCTGGGATTTACTGTAGAGATACTTCACCATTTCACTATTTCCAAATAAAGCTGCCATATATAATGGCATCATTCCTTGACTACCGGGGATTGTTAGCAAACCCTTGTTTTTTTCAACCATAAGCTTAGCGATATCAACTGTACCAGCTGCAGCTGCTAAAGATAAGGCTGTGTTTAAATTCTTGTTTTGAAGTTCCAAATCTTCTTTTGTCATCATCTTCACCAGATTTTCCACAAAATGTGTGTTTTTTGCTGATGATGCAATGTGAAGTGCAGTTTCGTAATTTTCGGTGATACTAGAACGTATCACTTCTGGGTGTTCCTCAAGGATGGTTTTTGCATGTGGCCAATTTCCAGTCATTGAAGCTTCGTAAAGAGGAATGCATATCTCAAGGTAATCTTTTCTTCTGTTATCTGTCATTAAAAAAGTCCAATTTGTAAAAAACGACTAGTGAATCTTGTTTTATTGCATAAAGTCAACTTCAAAGAGTAGTAACTATATATAGTGGATAACAATATACGAAGTTGGTGTTGAAATGTTGGAAGACAAAGGGACTTTGTCCCAAGTGAAACATTTTATGTATAAAAAAATGGATAAACTAATGAGTAAAACCAGTGGGTCAATAAAAAAAATTATATATAACATATTTCCTTTGATTTATTATTGTTCATATTTCTTTGTTTAATGACTGAGTCAGTAGATTCAAGCCCAAATCAGATATAGAAATCTGATAAAGATATAAATGCACCTTCCAATTGGTGGCGAGTTCAGATATATAAGATAATTGAACGTTTTTCTAGCCAAAAAAGCTTAAATTATACGGAGTTAACTTTAAATTTCAGAAAGAGAAAGATGGAATACCCAAAAAGGAAAGTAAAGTAGCTTATCCATAGCCATAGGTGTTCTTGTTTCTATGTAATTGGTTTAAATATGGATGAAGGAACAAGTAGTTGAAGGGGAATTAAAGGAAAGCAAGTAGATAGAGATTACCTGCAAGAAGATCTCCACAGGGATTTTTAACTGGTAATTGATAAAATGTGTTGCGCGCAATTGGAGCAACAACAAGTTGGTGGTTTTCTTTGACAGGGATCAAAGGGATATTTGCTGCCATGATTTCCGACGAACTGCAACTGCACAGAGGCTCTTGAAGCTCGATTATAAGTTTAACTTTAAAGCATGGAAGAACGAAGGAGCATATATAATATATTGTAGATTTGTATCTACCTGAAAGGCTGAAACTGAAGCTGAAGTGTGATTTTTGAAAGATTTGATAGAATCAATGACAGTTGCAACTGAGGAGATCGAACTCGGTTAAATCCAAATTTAAGACGCGCAAAGATAGATGGGTTTCAGAACATTTGGCCGGAGGAGAAAATTCCAGGAAATTTGTTGGGAAGATTCTTTTTTGACAAAAGACAAAATAGCCCCAATTGTTGTGGTTGGGTTCTCATTCCCTCGTCATTTCCAAGCAACCTTGCCACTTTTTCAAAAAAATTTACATTAAATTAAAGTCAATTATTATTAAAAGATCTTACATTTTAAAATTATAAGAAAAGGAAATTTACTCCATGAAAATCTCTAATCCTAATAAAAGACACCTAAACTGCCACATGTTTTTTTTCTAAACCCATTGACTGTCACGTGTCATTCTCATATGCTTCCTAAATTTTTATTACCCGCTCATTTTCACCCTCTCAATTTGGATGCCGATCAATAATATGATATCACGATAAATCAGCTAAGAAATTTGAATTTCATTTATATTAGGCAGGCAAAAAACCAGGAATCCTAATTTTTAATTTTTCCGCTTATCACAAATGTGTATGAAGCTGACTGTGCAAACACATTCAAAAAATCAGGAATCCTAATCTCTATCTCCTCCATTTCTGTATATCTCCCCAACCAAGGGTTTTTAGTTTCATTTTTAATCCTTCCACACGCTTCCTCCTTCCTTGCATATACCTTTTGCCTCCTACACGATTCGTTACCTGCTGCTCAAACAACACCCGGTCGATTTATTTTAGGGTTCATCAAAAGCTTTGTATCACTTATCATTTGGTTCTTTTTTTCATTTTTTTTTTTTTTGGTTTATTCTTTTGCAGCAGTCATTTGTGTTTTTGAAGAAACTGATGGATATGCAGTGATAGGTTCTGTGATGGTTTTTGTCACAACTGGCATTTTGGGCCAGGAAATTTTGTCCATGTATAGTTAACTTTTGATGTATCTTGTAACCTTATGTATGATGTTATACATGTTATTCATTCAACAACAACAATTTGAATCGAAACTCACTCGTGAAGCTCCAAACCTAATTCAATACGCTACATTCACTCAACTTTGGGTTTGTAACCCTAACTTCCCGGTTCAAATATCTTTTTGGACCAAGATTCCCTTATTAGGCCTAATGGGCAGTAACTCCTCAACTTGGTCCTTTTTGGACTAAAAATCCTTATTTGGGCCCTAGATGGACCCACATTCATTAAACAACAGTATTTTGGGCCATAAGACTCTTCATGGGCCTTATTGGGCCGAAAACCATTCAATTGTTTTTCATTTGGGCCGAAAACGTGCGTGAGGGCCCAATGGGCCAAAAAAAATATTTTTGGGCTATACAATTTCGGTTGATAATCAAATATGAGCCCAACACCCAATTTCCTTTTTCCTCTCCTAATTATCGGCCCTATATATGTTAAAAAAAAGTACAATGGAATGGTTAATGGGGGTGACAACTCACTAATACACAACAAATCTCAAAGAATTAAACCACCATTTATCTATGCATGGTGGATTACCCAACATGTAAAGTTTCCCCATCACCTCCCCTCTCCTCCTTATTTTCGGCCAAACCATCATCCATCTCTCTCCATTCCTCACAAATTCAAAGCTATCTCTTATATTATTTCCTCTCTAGCACAAGAAAACTCCTCCATTCATCCCACCAAATTTTCGAAGATTTGTGGGAGCGTTCAAGGACTCTCTATCAAAGATCATAAGTTGGTATGTTACTTCACTCACTCAAGTTGTTTTCATACAATGTTGTGCTAATAAATCTCTCCTTAAACAACATAATTTCATGTTTTGCTTCCTAGAACTCTCTTAGCTTCGAAAACTCTCCTCAAGAAGCTAGTTAAGGTCGAAAATCTCATTCACTTCTTCATCAAAACCGATCCATCCCCCAAGGTGAGCTTCATACCCCCTTGTTTTCGGTTTTACTATGTTTTGGGGGAGAATACAAGTTGGTTTTGTGTTAGATCTAAGTATTTATGCATGTATGTGTGTATTTTCATGTTATATGTTGTGAATGTGTCATGAAAGCTTGCTAAACTCTCACAAAATTCGAAATATCATCCAAATGTTGGTGAAATTTGTATGCAAACTCTTAGAAGTAACTTTGTATTATGTTGAAAAGATTAAACATGTAAAGGTTACTAGAAATCCAAGGAATGTACATAAAAGGACCATTTTTAACACTAAAGGTAAACAAAATGGACTTTTGGAGTCATTTTCGATTTAATTGGGCCTTAATTGTCAACTTAAGGTTTTATTGGGCTTTATTTGAAAATATACAGTTTTATGGGCCCAAAAGTGTCATTTTTCAAAAAAGAGGGCTTTAAATGAAAAATACGGTTAAAATGGGCCTAAAGTGTAAATTCTCGACTAAATGGGCCAAAGATGTCATTTTTCGTAAAAATGGGCCTTATTTGGAAATTCACGTTTTCATGGGCTTAAAATGTAAATTTTTGGCCTTAATGAACTTAAAATGTCATTTTTATCAAAATAGACCTTCTTTACAACCTTGCGGTTTCATTGGGCTTAAAATGTTATTTAAAATTAAAATGGGCCTTTATTGTAATTTTTTGGTTTTAGTGGGCCAAATTATTAAATTTTGACAAAAGTGGGCCTTTATTGAGAAATCTTGATTACTTGAGCCAAAAAGGTCGTTTCTAAGAAAAATGGGCCGTTTATGTCATTTTTAGCACAAATTAGACTAAAACGATCATTTTCATAATAAATGGGCTCCTTACGACATTTTTACTCGAATTGGGCTTGACTCACCCATAAATTGTTTATTGGGTTTGTTATACTCATTACTTGTTTATTGGGCCTATAGGCCCATTGATTTTCTTATTGGGCCTTGTATATTCAGTTCATCTTTATTGGGCCTTGTATATTCATTTCATGGTTATTGGGCCTTAAAACATCTATTTACATGCTTATTGGGCCTTGTATATTCATTTCATGGTTATTGGGCCTTAAACACCTATTTACATGCTTATTGGGCCTTACGACACATTTTATACTAATCGGGTTAATAACATTAAATACTTGACATTTTGATCGAAACAAATGGTATTTTATCACCAATGTTTTGTAATCAAACACATACTTGAAACATTATGTTAAAGCGGTAAATAATGTGATATACTGTTCGCGTAAATTTAGTTAAGGCTCCTGTAAGACACGTTTTCACCCGTACCTACCTAGTGTACAACCTTAAGTCCTTTAGTTATAACCAGAGTCTCCTGGAGGGAGAGCGAGAGTTTGTGTATAGATCTATACGAGGTTGACAACCTCACACCTGAGTTGTTTGCTATAGCTAGACTAGGCCAGTTTAGGGTGACAAATGTCTTACCTTAAACAAGCGACGCCTGAAAAACGTCACGACATGCATATCAGTCACATCAAGCATGGTTATAACGACTCACATAGAGATTAACAACACGATAAATTTACGGAATACATATACTATACTTTTGATACACGTACGAGCTATTCATTTCTATAACACTCGGGTCTTATGGTTTTAAGACTACAACTCTTTTACAAGCAGAAAATATCAGATTTTCTGGGAAACAAACACTATACCTTACATTTTACTTACAACAGAAAATATAGGATTTTCTGGAACTCTCTCTTTATACATTTTCAAAAATATGAACACACATGCTATAATACAAGATTTGAAACAAAACGCTCAAATCATTTTTTACGGAAAAATATCGGATTTTCTGGTGTTTACAAATGATACAAAACTTTTCATACAAACATGCTTATGAACTCACCAACATTATATATGTTGACGTTTTTCAAAATAACTTTGTATTCTCAGAGAATCGTTAAGCAGGTTGGTCATCAAGAACACGTGGATTTTTGTGTATTTTTGTTATCATCATACATTTGACATTTGGAATGTAATTTGTAAACCAACACACTGATGTAAACTATGATGGTTGTTATATTTCATGTGTGATGATGATGTTGTCTTTGATTCAATTATATACATTGTGATGATATTACAAGATAAAGTCACCCAACTCCCGAACGTTTCCGCCGTCTGGTTCGGGGGTGTGACAGTTTTGAAGTCACCCTCAATCCCACAGAAACTTGATTTAAGAAGGTAAGAATGCTACGGTTCTTAAAGTTCTTTAATTGTTGTTTACTTTTTTGGTTTAGTTTGCTCAAAATAAAGTCACAAAACATAAGTGTGGTCTCTCTCTCTCTACGGTCTTTCTGTGTGTGTGTGTGTGTTTTTGCTATATAAACTCCATGTGTTCTTCCTCTGTTTCTCATAAAACATTAATTTAATTTCCCTCTTATTCCTTCTTTTTATTTTCGTTCCTGAAAATCAGGAGTTTATCTGTGTCGTTCCATTAGGAGATGCGTTCAAACTTATCCCCCCCTCATTCACTCTATCATAAAACTGGAAAGTAGCAAATACATCCCATGAAATCAGGCCAATGAAATTATCTTCGTATATTCCCTCAATTTTACTGAGATTCTTAATCTTGCTATTTATATTGTGCCATTCGATACCCATAGATTTTAACCAAACTTTTTTTGTTCTCTATGCATAGACTTAAAGGTTTTCCCGTGGAATTGGAGTTGTTAAACCATAACTTATATGCGCAATGGAAAGATTATTTTCTATCACAGTCGGTACACTTTGTTTTCTCAATTATATTGTTTTTATCTTCACATAATGGTTTTTGTGTTTTTTTAAATTATTTTGAAATTGAATTTCTTTATGATGTTTTATATCTCTTATAGAACTCGTTTAAAAATCTTGCATATTAATGAAAAAATATATATTCAAATGTGGATAAATGCTATCTTTAATTGAAATTTGAATTTCCATTCTTATCAAATGAAACATTCTTAAATAAAAACGTGTAATTTAATATAAATTCCAATAAATGTGGCATACATAATCGTCCATATATCATATCTTTAATTGAAATTTAAATTACCATTTTTATCGAAACAAACATCCTTAATTAAAACGTATAATTGAATATAAATCCCAATAATTCATGCCTACATGATCGTCTACATATTTACAACTGTAAAACATGTTTTGTCTTTGATTTTATAGAACGTCCTCCGGAATTTTCTTTTGATTACACATCTTCCATCACTACGAAGACACAAAGAAAAACATCAAACAACACCAGGTTAGTACTGCTCATTTACTTTTTTATGTTTTTTTATTGATTACTGTTATGGTCTTCTAAAAATATATAAAAAGATGGTTTTTTTTATCATATCATCTTACGGTTAATTCCTCTAATAGAAGATCGTGTTTTGAAAGTTCTACTCATTGTAACAGACTTTCTCTAAATCAGAAATATAATGCAAAGAATATGCATAACTTACACAATGGCCATTTGTGTTAATATTTTAAAATAACTATATATGTTTTAACATATTGTTTTTTGGTTTTTTGTCACATGTATGGTATTTTTGCTTCATAGGGCAACGTACTTTAATCATGAAAGGGCAATGTACTATAAAATCTGTTTATTTTTCGGAAAATGCAATATAAACAGGACAATTTGTTTCAATTTTTTTAAATCTCTAACACTTCAGTTTAGTCAATATTCTTTACATAGTAATAACATATGCATTTTTTTAAACATAAATCATTTAAACAGTGACCATATATTAAAACACAGACCATGTATGTGTGCTTTCATACAATGTTTAATTAATTTTATAGGGCATCATACTATCTAATATAACATCCTATTATTAGTATGGATATCATATCTGGTATAATTAATTTTTTGACAACTAAATCATTTATGTATCAAATACTATGTTTAATTAAATTTATAGAATTTCAGAATTCATTGATGTAAGTATTTAATTGAAATGATTATTTTGCCCTTGCTTTTATTTTTGCATGTTTTATTAGGGGTGTTCACGGTCCGGTTTTTTCGGTTTTTAGGTCAAACCGAAGCCAAACCGTTACT